CATTTTATGAGCATTTAACAGTCGCATTTTACGATTATTTAACAGCCGCATTTTACGAACATTTAACAGTCGCATTTTACGAACGTTTAACAGTCGCATTTTGCGAACATTTAACGGGCGCTTTTTTACAAACTTTAGGGTCGTACATTTTAAAAACATTTTTTACTTAAGGCCATTCATTTGACCTTAATTACATAAGGGTTGTTTACTGGTACTGTTTTATATAAGCCGTTTTGTCGTAAATTTAAATGGCTCTGTTACATAACGCCTTCGGCCCAGATACTGATATTGATCCAAACATTTAACGTATTTTTACGATCATTTATCTAAGAGTCGCATTTTACGAACATTTAACGGTCGCATTTTCCGAACATTTAACGTATTTTTACGAACATTTAAGAGTCGCATTTTACAAACATTTAAAAGTCGCATTTTACAAACATTTAACAGTCGCATTTTAGGAATATTTAACAGTCGTATTTTACGAACATTTAAGAGTCGCATTTTATGAACATTTAACAGTCGCATTTTACAAACATTTAACAGTCACATTTTAGGAATATTTAACAGTCGTATTTTACGAACATTTAAGATTCGCATTTATGAACATTTAACAGTCGCATTTTACAAACATTTAACAGTCGCATTTTACAAACATTTAAGAGTCGCATTTTAGGAATATTTAACAGTCGTATTTTACGAACATTTAAGAGTCACATTTTATGAACATTTAACAGTCGCATTTTGCGAACATTTAACAGTCGCATTTTACGAGCATTTAACAGCCGAATTTTACCAACATTTAACAGCCGCAGTTTACGAACATTAAACGGGTGCTTTTTACAAACTCTAAGGTCGTACATTTTAAAAACATTTACTGGATAAGGCCATTCATTTTACCTTAATTACATAGGGTTGTTTACTGGTACTGTTTTATATAAGCCGTTTTGTCGTAAATTTAAATGGCTCTGTTACATAGCGCCTTCGGCCCAGATACTGATATTGATCCGCAAAACTTTCAAATTGCTGCAGTACGTGATGAAAACTGGTTTTGGCAGCCAGCGGTATGAATAAAATATATTTCTCCGCGTTGTGCACAGAGCTCATGCTGAAATCAGTCAACAATACAATTTTGCTTTGAAAAATCCTCTCCTTTTCGTCTTCGGAAAGCTGTAATCATGACTACATACCGGGTCGGAGGTGAATTCTAGAAACATTTCATCTGCGGGAAAATTAATAACTTTCCCTCTCTTTGGTGTTATTATCATCATCATTATTATTGTTATTATTATTATACCTATTATTAATACTTTTATAATAATTATTATCATTATCAATTGAAATAAGAAATCAAAACTTAGGCTGGAAGATTCTTAGTATCCAAAGGAGAGTTTTAAAGCAGAAAAAACGTCCATTTCATGGAAATACATATGCATTCAGCCTATATACATACTTTAGTGCCAATCGTTATTAAGAAGATTTTTATCATCTAGAAATTTACATACGTATGGCTTTCCATTATTTTCGCTTTGATCGCTAAAAATCGCCTTAAGTTGAAAATTCAGCGACTGTCTGCGGCGTTAGAGTTCACATAGACCGCTTAATCAGCAATATTTTATTTGGATAACAAGCTTGTTATCTTAACCAACCCACGTTTTAGAATTATCTCATAATTGAGACAAATGGATGGAAAATAAACCCATGCAAATATCTATTGTATTCTATGGCGTTTTGATCTTGAGTTTCGCAATAGACTTCTAACAGTGCTTTGTAATCGCTAAAATCTTCACCGTGAGGGGTGAAAGTAACCCCTCTTCAAGATATACTCTGATCTTAGAGAAACATGTTCCAAGTTTCAAGAGACTAGTCCTAAAAAACGATCTAATGGGCTAACGGGCTGATAGATTGTAATACATGTATTAACTAGCAATATGACGTTACTCAAGAGCAGGTGGAGCGGATGTAGAAACTAGACGAAGCATTACAAAAAAATGCATGATAATAAAGATCAGTGAAAATTATTAATTATTTGTAAATAGAATAAAAGAGATCTTAAGTTTTGAGCTCGGGAAATGAGTAGAGAAAAATGTTTTTCGTCTTTTCACGAACTTGGGATGAAGAAAAAATCATGCAAATTATTCCTCATGAGGACTTTTTATTTGTCCCACGCTCGTGACATGACGAAAAACATCTTTTTGTATGATTAATTATTAAAAGCACGTTTCAAAAGTTAGACTTAAGTAACCTAGACAACTGCAGTGCAGTTCTCAAAAATTAAGAAGAGAAGAAGCAATGTCGAATCCTGTACCTAAGTTAAATACCCACTTTAAAGACTTCTAACAATATTTTGAGCCAACGCTTGATTTGTTTACTGTGCCCACCTCACTTAACAAAATACAACAGGTTGCGTACAGTATACTAACTTATGGACGATGGCTTCCCCGATACGAAAGGTAATATACACTTAAAGAACTCAATGATTGACTCATACAAAATGCATGTAGGTCTTATTATTTTTACCTCCACAAGTCTATAATTCACTTCTGGAAGAAAAATGACATTTTCGATTTCTTTTCTTATCCAGCTTGTTTTACTAGGTTTAGTTTGGCTGCAGCTCCGTAACTCGATCCAAGGTGAGTAAGTTTTCGCTAAGATCCCATGTCACTAAAAAATTTACCTGTAAAACACGATTCAAGCCATCTTCGATGAGTCTGACGATATTTTTTTATCACTTTGACGCAGTAATGACAATTTCTCAATCCGATGACAGAGTTGTGAGAGAACAACTCTCGATTTTCCTCTTGATCAAAATTATGCAAGGATCCATTAGGTTTAATCGTGTTATCGTACTTGCGTAGTCCCTAAGTTAGCTGGCCAGTACAGGACGACAACAGAGGCACTGAAAACTTAACAATTTACTGTGAAAGATTACGCATTCACCACTTGAATCGATCTATGATTAGATAGGGAGAAAGTAAACTTACAAAGAACAACGTATTACGTAATGAAATGTGACTCAGAAATTGTTTTTCATGTCGCTAAAGAATTCAGATTCTTTCTTTGTTTTTTATATGCCGTGTTTTTGTTTTTTAATCTTAGTTTCCTTTTATTAGCAAAAGACGTCTTTTTTACGTTTGCTTTGAAAAAAGAAATGTGGGAAAATATCGGTCATAGACAGCCATCAAAATTCCCGCTGCCGTGAAAAACATTAGGGACCTGAAGCAAACCACGACGGCGACGGCAACGAAGACATAGGAAAACAAAAGATCTAATTGGCTTATTTAAAACTTTGCACATTTCTTAGCCGTCCCATGCAAAAAAAAAACGTGAAATCACCACAATTTGCGTCGTCTGAGAACCGAAACCGCGACGGCAAATTATTTTAATTTCCATTTGGAACTCGACGCCTCTTTAATACGTTATTCTGAAGTTGAGGTGTGGCGCCGTATGAGAAGGTAAACAGATGCAACCATTTTTGAAATTCTAATTAAAGGCAGAAATTCATTTTTTAATCGAAGTCTTCCTTAGCGTTGCCGTCCTGACTGCTTAAGGTCCGTATTCCTTCTTCTGGGTGGGTGGATAATCTGGCGATATTAGCGCAACATTATATTTATAAGGAAGGACAAACAATAATCACTGATAATCGCGAGAATCGCAATACATCGGCGATATATTGCGGAGCCATTGATCTAACAGATCGATTTATCGCCGACATATCGTTGAGCTCCTCGCGAATTATCGTTTGTCGTAAGCGATATATCGTTTAGGCAAGACGGCATATCACTACAGCTCGACGATATCCCCTTTTCGTCTCCCAAAAGTAGCGAAATATTCGATATAAGATTATGTGGAAGACGGGATTGTTATTTATTTGGGGGCGAATAAATTTATTTTATTTGTTGATACTTTTACTATCCGGCAGTATTACTTCTTACATGAGCTCTATGTATTTGAGGTTACCGAATTTTTCCTTTGGAAATAAAAATTCCCAAAAAAGCCTAAAATGGTTAATTAAAGATTTTGTTGCGTGATTAGGCTTAAATTACACGCCCTAAAACAACAGCCTTACAGAAATGTCTCACAAATGCCCTTTGGTATGTTTCATGTTAATTTTTAATTGTATAAGATCATAATGTAAAGACTGACAAAGATGTTTCATAATCTTCGTGACAGAAGAGTCGCGCACGTAAGCAAAATAATTCACACAGAGGCCGAGAGCAGCTCACGTTGCATCTATACGTCTCACTTTGGGAAATGAAGTGGGCTTCACGCATAGTAAGGAGATGATACTCGCCTTCTATGCGGTTACCCGGCCTCAATTCCCAGACCACGGGTCACAAAAGTATGTGAAGTCTTTTTCTAGTTCTCGTCCATCCTACCAAAGAATTTTGCCAAGTTATCCGATTATCCACAAATGCAAACCAACACCTCAGATTTCGGTTTGCCTTAAAGAAAGTGAACGAAGAGTCCCTCCTTATAGTTGTGATTTCGTTAAATTTCACATTTAATTTCAAACTTCTTCTATTTCACGCAGGTGCCGACGAATGTAATGAACAGACTCATAATTGTCATAAGAACGCAGACTGTGTTGATTTACCTCAAGGGTTTAATTGTAGTTGCAAAAGTGGATTTAGTGGTGATGGACAAACGTGCGAAGGTAATGAAAAGCATCGTTTATTTACAGTAGAATTAATGGTATTGCCGAATGACATTTCATGTGTGGACATCATCAGTATAAAGCTAGAAAAATATGCGAGAGAAAGGGTGAGAAATGCAAAATACCTTAGGTTTGTTTTGCACTTTTTTTTACTTCCCTACTGTATACTGTTTTACTGTATTTGTTTTGATAAGTTTTGTGTGGTTTAGCTCTTTCGTCCCTCTAATGTGAATGAGCTTCTCGATAAAAAAATAGAGGACAATCCTAATCCATCAATTCATTTATATTTTTTATGATGTAGCTCAAGAAATATTCTCATTAATAACCTTTCATTAAACGTTTCTTTCTAACAGATATCAACGAATGTGAATTTCCTACTGCTTGCCACAAAGATGCATATTGCAATAATTATAGAGGTTCTTACAATTGCACTTGTGTGTCTGGATACAATGGCAATGGAACAGTCTGCTTAGGTATCTACAACGGTAATTCGCGTCTGCATGAAATCAGAGATTTTTATAAAGTCAATATAATACCGATGCAGCCTGATAGATCATACGAAAAATGTAGCTTATTGGAATGTTACAATGAATTTCCTTGATTTAAAAGAATCACTTTGAGTGCTCCACCAAGGACCTTCTTTGTGATACCTTCGGCCAGGTTGAGAACCCTCGACCATTCTAAGTCCACGGTAAAAACACATCAGAATTATTTGTTACATTTTTTTATTTTTAAAAAAGCAAATAATTTGAAAGAAAACAATTTTGTTTCCCTGTTTTAGGGCCAGAAAAATGCAAAGCACCACTCGACCTTATATTTTTACTGGACGCATCAGGGAGCGTTGATGCTAGTAACTACATCAAAGAGAAGGAATTCATAAAGGTCGTTGTCAGCAGATACGATGTAGAGACCGTGAATAAAGCCGCTGTTATAGTATTCAGTGAGGCAGCCTCGAACGTAATTCCAATGGGCTCAGAGACAACACCTTTATCCTTCGCATTGGCTGTAGATGATATCCCTTATGATGCAAGTTACACGCGTATTGATCTCGCCCTTCGGCTGGCTTACGATGAATACTTTTCAGGAAAAAAAACACGGATGAGACTCAGAAACTAATTATCCTGTTAACTGATGGAATACAAACTCGTTTCAATTCAATGAGTCCGGCGTACATTCCAATAGAGGTTACAGCAGAGCTTCTTCGATTAAAATCAGCCAGAATTATTGCCGTTACTATCGGTAAAAATATCGATATGACAGCTATGAGGACAGTGACTGAACGAGAAGAAGATATCTTTCGTATGACGGAATTCAACGACTTGGTGGCAAACGCTGACATAATATCAAAGAAATCTTGTGTAAATGCTCGTAAGTTAAGCAGTTATTTGTTTCTTCCTAATTCTGCCTTAGAATTAAGTTCAATCTCCTCCATCCAATTGCTGGTTTTTTTCCGTTCTCTTTTATCAGTGTTTTGTTTCTTTGTTCTTGAAGGGGGATAAGGGACCTAAAATCCATCTTTTGGTCAATTGATGTTATTGAATAAATAAAGCTTTTCAATTATCTTACTGAACAATAATGTGGATAATCTTAGACGCGGATTTTTTTCTGTTCTGATTTTCTTTCTCTGAAAACGAGTATTTCGAAGCCCAATAAGTACCTATCGAAACTATCGCCAACTTGCGACTCTTTTTCTTCTATGATGTGCAACATGCAACCTTAGATGCAACGCAACTTTATGATAGATATTTTGATGATGTGTTTTGAAACTTAATTAATTATTCTATTCATTGTAGTTCAGACTCAAGGGATCTCGTTTTGCAGTGTCGACCGTAGTCTGTCCAATTGTCAGTTTCCAGCCTATTGCGTTAACGCTACAAATAACACATCGTGCGTTTGTAGCCCTGGTTACCTTGGTGATCCGCCCAATTGTGAAGGTTTGTTCTACAGATTCCGCTTGTTAAGCGGGCTAAGCAAGCAGTTCTTTCGACTTGGTGCCCGTAATGTGAATGAAAGGGCAAAAAAACTCACTCAACCGCATATGTCTTAAGTGTCATGATATCAAAGCTTATGTGATTTACGCGTCAATACCGGTAGTAATTATTCTTGTCACTGTGGTTATGGATACTTAGGTATCTTTCTCTCAACTGTGAAGGTGGTTATCGAGATGAGAAAAAAATATATGTATAAGTAAAAAAGCAAAAACTGAATGGATCTATAAAAGGTATTTAAGAGAACGCATGGCTCCTGTTTCCTATAACTGTTTATGCAAATATCCCGGATACAGTTATAATGGCAGTATTTGCGTCGTTATGTGTATAGCTATCTATGTTTTTTTATTGTTACAATTTTCTGAAGATTGTATGTTTTTTGAAAAACAAGATGGTCTCTCAACATACAAGGAACAAATATCATGATCAATTGTAGGCTCTGCGATCTCTGGCCCGTGCAGAGCCAGTGTTACGTTATGTCACCAAATTAGGGGAAATGCCCTCTAATTGTTTTGGCTTGATCCTTTTCAGGATTTGGTTATTATTGTTTGAGTGAAACTGATACCCAAAATTGTATATTTTACTTAGACATAAATGAATGTACCGATGGAACGCACGACTGCCACATCTCCGCCTACTGTGTCAACACCCCTGGCTCCTATAACTGTTCATGCAAACATTCCGGATACAGTTATAATGGCAGTATTTGTGTCGGTATGTTTAAGGCTATCAAAGTTCATTTACTGTTACAATTTTCTAAACATTGCATTCATTTTTTTTGGCAAAAAAAGATGGTCTCTCATCGTACAAGGAACAAACTCTACATTAAAAATATCATGATCCTCCAATTATATTATTATTAATCTTCTATTTCTATAGTAACGCCAAGCTTTTAAACAAAGTCTTAGAGTTGAGCAAGAATTTGTCGAAGTTTTATGCTCCTACCCTTCTGTGTTTGAGCGGACGCTCGAAAGACACGCGTTATCTTTACGATTTATTGCTTGTGGTGTTGAATAAACCAGGATTGACTGTAATAATCAGGATTATACCCACGTTGTTATTCACATGGAGCCAGAGTTTAAATGACTGACAATCTCCTATATAACCAACAGATATCGATGAATGTGCTCAAAAATTGATAACTGCGATGTCTCTGTGTCAGAATGTATCAATACTCAAGGATCTTACAATTGTTCCTGTCTCAAGGAAAACTATGCTTGGAATGAAAGTACCTGCATTGGTAAAAATATCCTCATGCTAAACTAAAAATCGACGCTTAACACTATGTCAAATAGCGTCTGTGTTATGAAAGATCCAGTACATACTATTTAGAGTTAAATGTCTCCAGACGGAAATATCTACTTTTGTAAGTCATAATATTAATACTATCAGCATCTCTCAAACTAATCAGGCTAAAAAGTGTAGTGAAGTTTAAATTTGTTTTGTAGGGTCTAGAGCGAATGTGTGATTGATGCAAAATTCTTACGTCAATACGCTTCCTTAGAAAAGATCTGCCACCCTGCTTTAAATGCATCGCTTCTGACCTTTAGATAATAATAAGCCTCCAGCTTTAATTTAATTGTTTTTTAATTAACCTGGGTCAGTAGCTAATCAGTTCTACTTGTGTCAGTTGAGGGGTATTACTCCGACTAATTTGATTATTTAAGTTTGTTTTACATGTTCATTTGTTGAAAAGGTTTTTAATTCATGGTTATTTTACTCTGGCCCAATAACAGACGTGGACGAGTGTAAAGACCCCGAACGTTGCGCTGACGCTGCCAACTGTACGAATTTGGACGGATCTTACGATTGTTATTGCTCCGAAGTTGCATCTCATCTCTGTTTTGGTACGTCAAACCGTATGTTACAAACAATTCTTAATTGATGGGTTAACAAACAATGCGCGTGGTAATTTTCTGAAGATAAGTATGATGTGAAATGACTATTTAACTCCAGCGGGGAGAAGGGGAGAAGAGGTAGGAATTAGAGGAGGTCACATGATTTTCCGGGGGGAAATTGAGGGGGATCATCAACTGAGTATAAGGGAGTTGACTTTAGAAATTTGACTGCCGATTAGCAACAGTCCGCTGAGCGGCAGGGGGTTCATGAGAATATAACCAAGCCTTATTGCGCATCAGGAATATTTTACTGCGTCACGAGCAAAATCCTCCACCCCAACCCTCACCTCCTTAAGCGATACATAATGAACGGTCTCTAAAGAGCTATGGGCAAAATAATCACTTATGTTTTACGTTAATGCATCTAATGTGCGCGTGCAAACATTCGAACCTTTTGTAACCCAAATCCTTCATTAAAATGAACATTCAAAAGGTTTGCCATAAATATATATATATATATATATATATATATATACATATATGTTAGCAAACTGTAGATTGAACGAAAAATTGCTTCCAGTTCAACTTCTTATTACACAATATAACAGAGCTAGATGTGCTAGATGTGTTAAACCACAATTCTAGGGTAATGATCATTTCCGCGCCATTTTAGGTACTACATTATGCGATACTCCACGAGTAAGTATTAAAGATGTGGGACGCTCTGTTGATCAGCCCACTGAGGTTCAGCTCAGCTCATATCATACGTTTACGGCAAACGTTGCTGTAAGATGCGCAAAGATATGGACTCAGAACATGTCTTGGATTTTAGCAGATCCATCCTTGAACAACTCTGACGCTTTATTGAATGGAAGTGTAGTTTCGACCGAAAGAAACACATGGACCCTCACTGACCACCATTTGCAATATGCCCACGTGGTGTATGCTTTGTTCTTCTCCTTTACCGTTCTCCAAGGGAGCAATAATTTGACACACAGTGTGTTTGATAGGGGTTATATCATTATACGTCCTTCACTGCTAGTGGCAATGATATCCGGTGAAACTGAAGTGACAAGAGGGAAAGAGCAAATTATTACCCTCAATGGATCCGACTCATATGATCCTCATGTTGGCCATGGATCTCTAGAGTCATTAACATTTTTCTGGCTTTGTAAGAGATCAGATGAGGAATTCCCAACTGGGAATCCTAATGACATTCAAATTGTGCCCATTCTTTCTACCCAATCTAGTAAGTCACTAGGAGGTTGTTTTGGCACAGGAATTGGGAGACTGGCCATCACAGAACCTGTTATAACTTTAAATGCTTCATCGATGGAGAATACAAATGCATCATACATTTTTAAGCTTATTGTTACGAAAGATGCCAGATTGTCGAGCGACTCAAAAACAATCCATGTGGTCGAAGGGAGTCCTCCTGCAGTGTCATTTATGTAAGTATATCGAGTCAAACTGTTTTTCGTTAAGGAATGTTTAGTTTAGAGGGTTTACGAAGCGAGGAGCAAGCTTGTAATGGATAATTGCGTCAATTCAACATGAATAACTGTCTGGAGTATCACCTGTTCAATACTCTCTTAATACTATCTTGCATTTGGGTTTGTTTTAGTTTGTTTGTTTGTTTTTTTTTTTTTTTTTTGTAATGTTCTCTAAGCTAATCCCAAACGTTTGACTTTGCCATTGAATCTTTTTTTGGCAGTTTCGTAATGGGCGATCGATTAAACGTCAATCCGTCAGCACCCCTGACCATCTCAGCCGATTACCTGAGCTATTCTTGTGTTGATCGAGCGCAGTTTGAGTGGTTCCTCTACCAAGAAGACGAAAACTTGACTTGGATTCAAATTTATGGCACCCCTGAGAGGTCCCAGGTGTTCTCAGTTGATCCAGAGATGCTAAAAAACGATACGAAATATCGATTGGAATTAACTTTGAAACTCAAAGATGAAGCCCCCTCTAAAACCGTGCAAGTTTTCAGGACTGCTGTCCTCCCACAGAAAGGTTCATGCGTTATAACCCCAGAGACTGGTGAAGCAGTTTATACCGTATTTCAGCTGCAATGCTTTGATTGGTTCGTTCTTGATGAAGTATTAACTTATGAGGTGCAAGTTATCGGAGAAGAAAACATTCACCTTACTTTGTACTATGGCCTCAACGCGAGTCAACATTTCGTTTTACCGCAAGGAAATTCCTCGCGTGGATATGTATCCAAGATCAAGGTATTCGTGTCAAGAAGCAATGGTGCTACGTCTGAGGTGGATATCACAGTAAAGGTATAAACAAATAATACATTTTTCTTATCTCCGTCAATTTCTGAAATCAACAAGCTTTCTTAGTTATTTGCTCTTTATTGTGAGGGAACTAAAATAAGTATATCAGACCGATTAATGCTCCCAACGACACCCACTTCTTAATTTTTTTTCCTTTGTTAAAACTTCAATCGTATCTACTACTGTGATTGTGACCTCTCTGTTGTGATTTACGTCAAATGGGTTTTATATTTATAGCCTCTGCCGGGACCTATTTATTAATTCTTTAGTATTTTTCAATTTTATAGTTTTAAACCACCAACATTTTTTGCAGGTAACTCCACCCCAACTACGAGTGCAACAAGACTTTTTTGAACTTCTTGAAAAATCGTCAGCTTTTTTCGAGGATTTCATTTTCGAAGAAGGAACACAGAAGGCTTGGCAGCTGATGACAGCCATGCTTTTAACTTTAGAGAAACAAGAATTTGAAACAAGAAATTTCTCCAGCTCAGCGACACCCAGTCAACTGAAAAGTGCCGTAAGTGTCAAGAATTTGGGGCTAATAAGATGTCTGTGTAGTCCAATATTCACTTTTCGACTTTTGTTTTGTTTCCTTTTTTTCGAAGTTGAGAGACATTGCCCTAAAGAGATTCCAGCTTACAGAGGTTGATTTATCAAGTGCGGTGTCTTTGTCCGCTTTTGTAGCCTCCGCTGGAAAGAAAGTGACTGAGTTATCCCTTCTCTCTAAGGTAATTTTGGGATTTGTGAATTTCTACATTGATAAATTTTCTCTGGATAGGACGTATGACCCAATGATAAGTTCACCTAGTTTCGGATCGAAGGATCAAGGTTAACTAGATATTAGGTTCTGTTTTATCGCTTAAGGCTAGACACAACACCCATTGCAATGCTAGCTAAGTAAGTGAAGGCCGGTTTATCAGTGATACCATGACATACCCATGATTAAAAGATTTTGTTATATACCTAGACTCTCACTTAACAAAACGAGCACTGTGATTGGTTGATTCTTGGTTATGTTCCCCTGATCAATTTCAAATGTATACCGACCGGAAGACAATTGCACAGTTGTTGCCCGCGCACTAAATACAACAGCATGTTTTTGCCATATGACTGTTTAAGGGAAAGTCTAAATATATAACAAAGCACTTAATACATCTAGTGTTTTCACACGAAGAGTAAATACAGTTTCCAAATGCAGCAACGGTAATTTTCGAGGGCATATGTGGAAAGTGAGGGGAGACTCGAGTGACATTCAAGCTGTTCCAAGCTATCAAAACAGAACAGGGGCAAGTAGACAAGCCAATTGGCGAGATTGGCCAGCCTCAAGAGTACACCGTTGCTTACCCTTGCATCAATAATTGAAATCAGTATTTTGGTATCACAAACAGCTCAACTATAAATAATGTTTGAGGTTAATTAATGTACATGGATATGGTTGTAAGTTAAGTTTCAGAAACAAACAACCCGCACATAAAATAATTAAACATCATTTTTCCAAGGATCTGCTTCCCAAACACACTAGAGAATATTGCTGCTTTGTTGCTTTCCAAAGCTAAAGAGAAGAATGCAAATGATGAAAGAATTATCTCTCAAGGGATATACAACTTGTTCTTTGGAACAGTGGAGCTAATGATGGTATCAGCAGAGGCGGCTGCTATTGGAAAAGAGGGCAAAACCTTATCATCCGAACAGTTGAAGGTAGGGTTTCTAGAGAGAATTTTAAAACAGTCATGTAATGACCCACTTGATCAATACAACTGAGCTCGCAAATTTTGTATCAGTAGGTCATATAGCCCTACTGAGGCCCCTTCACCTTCTTTGAAATTGCGTTACCTTATTTAACATAAAAAGGCGCCCTCTATCTAAAATTATTTTTCTTACAAACGGCTAATCATGGTCATAATTCGAATCGTAAGCCAAACGCCGTTAAACTTTACCACCCATTGTTGGTCCTTAAAAGTCTCATTCGTTTATACCTTTTCTCCACAGATATCGACCACGTTGCTTTTTCTTAAGGGCTTTTAAGGGAAGGGGGGGGGGTGGGGTCGAACCAGCCTTGGTGGTGTCAATGAACTGCTGAATATCAGCCTGTTTTCTTGAATATTTTTTAGGCTAAAGATAACGTTTTAAAGTCTATGGACATAACAAGAACATTGCTTACAACTGTAGCGGTGAGATCAGCAGTTTCTCAGTCCCCAAAGACGTTACGAGTGCCGGGCATGAGTATCTTAGTTGGCCGGGAGTCATCATGTGGACTTCAAGAAAGAAGTTTGAACTTGACCGAAAAAGACAGCTTTCGTCTTCCTCGAAATATGAATCGCGCTTTTGCAAATGAAAGTGTGGAGTGGGCTGAGTATCAGGTATCGCATGCAACAACGGGAGATAACTTATTGAAAGAGACAGTAAAATAAAGTGTTGACATTCCGATATAAATCTTAAATTCTAATTAATTAATCGGTTATATTTAATTAAGTTTAAGTTCGTGTGTTTTAGCAAATCTTCCCTATTTCTTCCTGCAGATGTTAAAAACAAGTTTCAATCCATACCGCTGGCACGAAAGCTATCATAAAGTCATGTCAGAAGTTCTTAGTCTCGAGTTTACCAACGATAAGGGTGTATTACCTGTTGGTGGAGAAGACGTTGACATTGACATTAAAATACCACTAAATCCTCCTGGAAACAGCTCATATGATAATAACTACTTTGTCAGACCACAAAATATGAGATACCACATCGTTGAACTTGAAGAAAACTCCGATTCCATCATTCTTGAAGTTCAACCTGTCAATGAGAGTCTTTCAATGACAGTGTTTGTTAAACTCGGGGAGCGCCCAACCGTTAACAATTACAGCCATATGTCCAACGTACCGGACTTTTCGTCGTGCAGTTGGGACAGAGTTAGTGGCAGTTGGTTGTCAAGTTGCTTAAGAAGTCCATACCAGGTCATGTCCACTGGACATTTTAAACAAACTGGTTTGTATTACGTCGGGGTTCTGTACGTTGAACGTAGTCACGACCAGTTAAATCACACTCGAACAAGACGATCATGCAACGGAAAAAGGAGACAGAGAAGGGACTGCGTTGAGCCAAAGCCACCTCCAGTGAAAGGAATAGAGTATAATAAAACTTTGATTTATAATCCTTTTACCGATGAGAACTATACTATAAAAGTTCGGAAATATAGTTGTTACTATTTTGCTTTAACCCAAGGCAAGTGGAGTAAAGATGGCTGTAAGGTCAGTTGAAGAGTAAAGAATAAGTTCATTCATTCCCCATTAATTTTATATGCTGTGTCACAATAAAACAGTTATTCACTGCACGTTTAACTTCTAACCTATCTTATGAGAGTCGTGCTTAGTTTTTTTTTTGTTTTGTTTTTTATTTATGGTATGATTATTGATTAATTATCCTATAGGAATCCCTCACCGATACTTTTGAGCAAAGGCAATAAAATTTTATGAAATGATAAGCTAAATCTTTACATCTTTTATCTAATTTAGGTTGGAGATGAAACAAATGATCATCTACTTCATTGTAGATGTAATCATCTCACAGGCTTTGGAGGTGGTTTCGTCTTTGCACCAAATCCTATCGACTTCAACAAAGTTTTGAACGAGTTTACTAGACTCGAGGAAACAGAAAATTACGTGGTTCTCGCAACTGTCTCTTCTATTTTTGGCGTCTTCGTTTTGATGATTATATGGGCAAGGAGAGCTGATGTGAAAGACGAAAGAAAGGTTTGTTTTATTTTTTCATCATTAAAAGGAGGGGAAAACCATAGAACACTTGCTGCCACTTATTTGCCATTGAGATCACAAGAATAATACAGAGCCTTAAGGCAAGATCAGGAAAAGTTCGCCGCGACACAACCAAAGTCCTCCGTCGCCCCCACTCCCTCCTCCCCCCCACCTCTGTACTCCAAGGCGATAAGTAATGAATGAATATGTGCTGATTGCTGCTTTTAAGCTTTATTTTCTCGTATATAAAGGAACGGATACGGCGAAAAAAAAAGTTTGAGATCAAATAAACAATTCTCTCATTAATTGACCTCGAGTTGTTGAATATTGTTTAAGTAACCCGCCTACGTGCTTATCTACCTCCCATTCCTTTACTTCATGATTTGTTGTTTCCTTGACAGCTGGGACCAACTGTTCATGTGAAACCGAATGAAAATGGCACGCATATGTACGAGTTCACCGTAGTTACAGGAGTTTGGCGAAATGCTGGGACTACTTCCAATGTGTTTGTTAAAATCTACGGCACCGAAGGCATTCTAGAGTCTGTGAATTTGACCGCGAATTCACCGCCAGGAAGAAAAATGTTTGCAAGAGGCAACATCGAAAAGTTTGTCTTCCATCTTGAAAATTCACTCGGAGTTGTAGTTAAGATGGAATTGTGGCACGACAACTCTGGAAAGAACTCCTCCTGGTTTCTAGATCAAGCTCACCTTGTCGATATAAATAATGATCAGAGATGGGACTTCTTCCACCACAGTTGGCTTTGTTTGCACAAGGGAAGTGGATCTTTAAAAGCAACAATAAAGTCCGCTGATCCTGGCAACGAGACTCGCAGTTTTAAAACACTGTTTTATTCTGTTACTTCAGTCGACCTTGCAGAACATCATTTATGGGCCTCTGTGATAACCAGACCACTGCGCAATCAATTCTCCCGCGTCCAAAGAGCCTCTTGCTGCCTTGGTTTACTATGTCTGGCAATGGTTTGTAACGCCATGTTTTATCAAATGAATAGAGTTCCCGATGAGTCAATTCAGATCGGTCCTTTACAGATGTCATTACGCCGGCTGATTATTGGTATTAAGAGTTCATTGATTATTGCCCCACTAAGCCTAATAATAACTGGAGCCTTTCGATACCGAAAGATAAAAAGACAAAAACAGAGACTCATTGGCGATATAGAAGAGAGCTTTAACGTAGAGCATACTGCTGCAACGAGATCAAGATGGTGTAGTCTCCCTTATTCATTTTTATACATCGCTTGGTTTCTTTGTTTATCGGTGATATTTGTATCCGCGACCATAACAGTATTTTACAGCCTTCAATGGGGCAAACAAACTGCCAACATGTGGCTGGCTTCCGTAGTTGCCTCCTGTGTCCAGGACATCTTTTTTTGGCAACCCGCGAAGGTTCTCACCTTTACAGTCTTATTGATTCTAATTTTCAAGAGACCAAAACTAAACACCAAGAAAGGTGATAGATATAAATCGTCTTTCACCGAGGAGATGAAAGAGCTACGCGCCTATGAATTAAGAAAGGAAAAGTTCTTCAGACTTGCTCGTCAGTTTGTCGCATTTATGGTTTTCTATCTTTTGTTGATGATTGTCGCCTATGGAGACAAGGATCATCACAGATATCTAATGACCAAAGGCACTCGGGATGGATTCACCTTTTTTTACAAGGTATGTGTACGAACTGAGTGGTTAGATAATAGATAAATTTTCTCTGATCAGGTTTTTGTCTACTTTCCACCTTGCTGGTAGTATAGCGTCATTAAAACGGAAAAAAGTGATCTCTTGCTAGGATGCTTTTAGGAAATGTTTTCTTTGCACTAAGCTGTTAATCGAGGTTGTTGTTTAAATGTCGAGTTACAATTCTAGGTCAACACAGGAGAAAAGATGTGGACTTACATGCTTGGTAAATTTGTCCATGACGCGTATGCCGGTGAGTGGTACAATGGTCAGGTTGAGCAAACGCCAGAATACATTAGTAATAAAGTTTCCATGCTTATTGGAATGCCTCGACTCCGGCAGCTTCGGATAAAGGAAGGTAAGGTTCTATCCTTTTGCCCTCGCCCCCTCATTAACCAAGCGGGTGCTCGGCGATACTGGATCCTATCAGTAAGCTCGTCGCAAACCCCTTCCAGAATTATTATGTATGTACCACTGAGATATTATCTTAATGGACCTTTGTTTCAATTAAGATTCTTGCCAAACCGCCGAGGAGGTTGAGACGATTATTGACATGTGCTACGATTTCTACTCGACCCCAGAAGAAGATACAACTCGTCTATATCTTCCCCACTGGATTTATTTATCAGATTCACAGATTAAATGGAAAAATCTATCACAACTTTGTCCCAGACCGTGGCGATATTCAACTGCAGAGGAGCTCAATAACTTTCCATCCTGGGCCCAGCATCACATATATGGCGGTGGGGGATACGTTCTTGATTTAGGATACGACAAACCGACTGCTATCCGCATGATGGAAGGCGTCAAAGACAAGGATTGGATTGACAGGAGAACAAGGGCAATTCTTCTCGAATTTCAAGTCTTGAACTTAAATACTGACTTAATAAGCATTATTACTTATTATTATGAGGTTCTACCTTTCGGATTTGGACTTACTTATGAAAAAATTGACACCATAAAAATGTTCAATTTTCAGTCTACGTCCAATAGCTTTTATCTAATGTGTCAATTGTTGTTTATGCTGGCAGTGTTAGTGTATATCTCTATTCTTTTAATCCGACTATGTCGCGAGGGATGTGCATTTTTCAAAAAAATGTGGAACTGGATAGACATCGCTCAAATTATGAATGCCTCGCTAGCAATTGTGTTTTATGTCCTAAAGGCAAAGTTTATGCATGATAGTATAAAAGAATTGCGAAGGAATCCTTTTCTCACGGTGAGCTTCCAGTTTGCCATTTTTGGACTGACATGGAAAATGTTGCCCTAGCATTTACTTTGTTTATTGCCACATTCAAAATTCTCTACTTTATTCGCCTTAGTCCGCATGTACAAATACTGGCTTGGACAGTAATTACTGCGAAAAACGACATTTTATCATTCAGCTTTCTCTTTGGAATACTGTTTATTGCACATGGCCAGTTTGCTTTCCTGGTTTTTGGTGATTCAGTGTTTTCATTTTCATCATTCATTCGTTCATTTGCCTCAGAGTTTGAGTTAGCACTGGGTAACACTATTCATGTTGCTGAACTTGACGATGTCAATAGAGTGCTAGGTAACCTTTTTACCGCTAGTTTTATGATCGCCCTTGCAGTTCTTCTTATAAACATATTTGTGTCTATTTTAGATTTTAACCTACACAATGTAAAGGAGGATGAAGAGAGGCTGCAAGAGGCATTTGGTATGGGGGAGTTTATTAAGTCGTTGTTCGGCAATGATGATAACAAGCAAAACGGTAAATAATAAGTACCGTTTTGGTGATAGAATTCTTTCGATTTAGCTCGCTTTTCAATCATGCCTGTTACAAAAGAATAGAGGAAACCGTTTGCAGCAAACCTTAGATGTTACAAAAAGAGCTAAACTTACCCTTCAAGTGACGCACAACAACAAAAGAAACAGCTATGCAAAATGAATCACAGATACAATACGGGGTAGTGTAAGGACATTGCATCAAAGATGTATTTACTCAATGATAACTTAAATTTTTTTTTTTTTTTGATTCTGTAATTGGATAGAGTAAGGGCGAAAGAATCTGAATAAAGTGTACTTATCAAATACTTGAAATCCTTGGAAAGATGTGTATTGTGTCAGCTGAAACGATGGCTGGACCATCTGCTTTCATTAAAAGCTAGATCATTGGATAATACAACTCAAATTTATTTTGGGGTTATGGGTCATTATTTGGTGGATTAGCCAGTATGAGTTATGAACCGCTATACCATGCATGTGCATGAAGAGGAGTTACAACAGAAGCGTTTTTTATACATCATAACATCCTGTTTTTTGTGACAAATTAAATTTGGGATGATTTATCTATATTTTAGGGAGTTTTTTAAATAACAATTATTCCCTCGCGCTTTTCGGATATGACATGATTAAAGCCAACTCAGCCCTACAGGCCCCGTTAGCTGTCTATCATCTCATATCCAACGCAGACTCGTGGAATAACTTGTAATAAGTGAGTTTAATCGACTAATGATTAACCTTGGCAGGGTAACGAAATACCTAAAGTGAAACCTATTTCAGCCACCTTTACGATGAGAGTATCCCCTCCTATGATAGACCATTTTACGTTTGAAACGAACCCTCTTGCGGGAAACGTGGCTAGAAACCACGCGAAGCAATTTCAGAAATTTTCTTCCTTAATCAGATGATCACTCTCACATACATCACTTATTCGGCAAAAAACAGGCAAAGTCCTCCTCAATAATCCCCTGCTTTCCTTCGTACACTAGGGAAAGATCGCAACGAAATGATTGCGAGCTGACACAACTTGTAATTCATAAACAAATTCTCCTGTCATTACTATTCGAAAGGTATGAACCTCAGTGTGGCGAATATGCGCACTGATGTGAATGTATGAGGATTAAGGGTTTATGGGAAAAAAAAAAACAAAACAAAAAACAATCTAATGAGAAGCCATAGAATAACAAGAAGAAAATTTATCCGATGCAAAGTTTAATGTTTCAGAATTATAATCAACTATCAATTTAAAAACAGTTTTACTTACATACTTACACTGCAATTGTCACATTTAAGGTTACGTCATCGAAAGGGTTACTTAAGAATTATACTAGACATTTCGTAAAGACCGATCAGCAACACAAGAACACAATTTTCTTTTTACAAGATTGATCATTAAGAAACACGATGCAGACAAACTAGACTTAAATGTTACGACAGCAGGTCCAGGAATGGATACTTATATATAGGGACGAGAGGCGAACGCTCTATTCACTACGTCTCTACTGTTCCACCATATTGGCTCATTGGGAGAATAAGAAGCAAACACAAAATTTTGCACATGAAATTGAAACTTAAGATACTCTGTTCCAACCAACCAACTTCATAATATTTTCAGAGAAGGAGAATATACAATTCCCAGATTATCCTATAAAAACTATGGCGAAAAAAAGATGAAACGATCAATCAACACCTATTTCACTTAACTCACCAAACTCCTGCACTACAAACTAAAGTAATGTCATGAATTGTGTTTAGCTCCAAACCAATGCTGCGTAGTTGAAGCAGGGGAAGATGTGCAGCGGTGATTGATGTTTACACCCCCGTCATGATACCATCCGAAATTGTTTTCGTTTTGCGTTGAGCCTGAATATCCATCAAATGTACAGTCCTTAGAGCGACTCTTTATGGTCCAAGGTTCGTTGTAATTTTGTTTCGTCATCGCAGTGCAATCGGAGCAGTTATTTCCACGGATATTTATGTACTCATACATTCTGCACACTGAGTTCCATCTACCAAATATGCCCTGATCTACCAGCTTAGCGCGTGCGTAACCCGTGTACTGGAGACCATCCTTGACGAAGTTGCAGGTCGTTCGCAGATGTGTCGAGTGATCGGCGAGGGACTGCATCCAAGATAAGGACAGGCGGTATGAATTCCAGTCTATTTTACTTTTAGTTTCATTCACGGGATAATCTCGGCCGAAATCTACTCTCTTGAATGAATCTTTGTTAGCTAAGGAAAACGACTGGATCAAGGCCCATTTAAAGCCAACTTCCGATTTCAAATCACAATAAACGGGAATAGATTCGTTTGCAGAATTAAATATGTCGTACTTCCCGGATATCAAGGCACCGTTGCTAGCAATATCCTTGCAACTCCTTGGCCGTTTTATCTTTTCGCATCGTTGACCAGAATATGAGCCAGGACAGGTACAGTCAAACCTGGGGCTGAAAGTGTCACATAGCTCCTGACACACACCTCCATTCAGACAAGGATTGGAGTGGCAACATCTGTTTACACAGTGATGTTTTCCGGGAATGTATTTGTCTCCACCCTAAAGCAATAGATGTCTTTTGTGTATCAGACATTTTCCGAGAGAGAAACCCACCCGGTTGGGTCTTACCATCAAAGGCAGCAGTCGCCTGAGATTTCATCTTTATTTTCTTTTTGTAATTTTAGAGGGAATTTAAGTGATAACCACAGGCTTTATTAGGAAAAAAAAGTGAATTACACAAATAGATTTAAAAAGGAACAACAACAAAAATAAAACCTCAGAGAAAGAAAGGATTACTATCATAGTGATATGTCGTAGCTCACCTTCACCGTGAAACTTCTCACCAAATCATAGTAATTTCCTACTGGTCTCCATTTTATTGCCGCTGGCACCATCTCTCTGTTTGCGTCATTAAGCTCGCAGTTGTTTTCTTTGGACTGAGGAAAGTAATTCATGGATACGCACAAGCAGTTATCTTTGCACCTTACGTGACATTGGGTGGCACTGGGGACAGTTACTCTTTGAAAAACGTGATCTTCCAGAATGTAGTTGAAGACAACATCTTCACCGACAACGAATTTGAACTTTTGACAGGTAGCTCCACTCAGTGCCATACTGGAGAATATCTGATGCAATATCAGCACTAGATATGCCACTTGAAGGCAATACAGGGTCCTCATGATTCAGCTAGTACACAAAATTGTAGGAATAGAAAATTTCAACCTAAAATATATGCCGAAGGTGACTAAACTATTCGTCCTTGTACATATTTTGATAGTTCTTACTATTGCTCCCGTTACTCAAATGTATAACACGTTCTCAGAACTGATGCTTTATTAACTCGATCCATGAAAACTTAGCGCTGCTTTAGTTCTAGTTCTAGTTCTAGTTCTAGTTTAGTTTTAGTTCTAGCTTAATTGATCTTCGACACTAAGCCAAACTTCTTCTACACTAGCTTAAAAAAAAAAAAAAACTTGTGTCATTTGAATTCGTCAACAAGATTAACTAACGCGAGAGAGAACAAGAAAAGGCATAAGTAAAAAGGCGAATGTCTAGCGAAAAGCAACGCGAGAAGGGAATACAAAAACGCTCCTGAAAACAGACTGAAAAGACGTCATCAACAAAGAGAAGCGAACCACAAAGGATTCGAGAAAGAAGAGGTGCTAAGTCAGTCGTGCCTTATCTGGGTTTTCTCTTACCCTAAGTACCAGAAAAATTCAATCCTTTTTTTACCAATCCTCGTTTGATACTAGCTTCAGTTTATAACGAAAATCACGTATCGGTAAAACAATGACTTCGGCATTCATGGCCTCAAAACCCTCGCGCCAGTTTATTGCTCGAATAACATTTCAGTGTTCACTATTCTTCAAGGTATTCCTTGTCCTGTCGTTTGGAATTTTTGATACTGTCGTGGTGTTTAGGGAAAAGAAGTCACCTTCAGGATTTTGTTTTGCCTAGAAAGTTTTCAAATAATAGCGAAGGGCGAGCTCAAGTTTCTACTTCTTTCTCTCTTCAGTCGCAAGATTTACTTGATTCATTTAAAACAATCGCACTTTGTCGAAGAAGTGTAGTTTTACCCTGAGAACGAAGTAATGGCCTTTCCCAAAATTGAAATAAAATGAGATTGAATCAGCGATGTTCATGTTTACATTGAGTCTGACGCGGTACTTTGATTTTGTCAGGTGAGAACCCCTCAAACTTCTGAGAATTAAATAACCGTGCGCAAATATATGGTGCAAACCAGCTCACGGGTAAAATGGTGGTAATCCTATTGCGGAAGGAGTGAATTTCATTGTTTGGCCGTGGTTCTTTTCAGCGCTATGTTGTTATGCTTTTTACTCGGTTCTTTCGAACTTCAAGAAATAGTTTGTCTCACAAAACATGGAGCCACTCTCTCTTCGCTCAACATCTCGCGATACGATGATTTTTCCCTTACGCTGAAAACTGAAGAATCAATCTCTGAAATTGATAGTCACCACATTTTGCAAGACGCGTCCGAGCTGTGATCGTGTAATTAAACGCGGTCCTGGAAATTTGAGCTCACAAGCACGCTGGTAAGCACATGGTTAGCGTAAATAATTGTTGTTTACTGTTTTCAAATTCGAGAGCAGTTTCTGAGAGTCCGTTTTTGTAGCCTTCCTGGATATTTTCTGTTGAATTCATTCAGGTACAATGTCGGAATTTCATCAGTAATTAAGAGCGATAAATTCGTATATGTAGTACAAGTGAACCACATTTTAAACTTTCCGTGCGATTTTAGGAAACTATACTTAATTGACTCTTGTTAAATTGGCCTGGCATGACTTGTTGATTATTTTACTATTTTGTAGCCCAAAAGCCCGGCTTATGACTCTGGAGGTACTGAACTTGATATATTTGATACACAAGGCACCCTTCAAGGGGGAAGGTTAGAATAAAATTATTGCTTTTGAGACCGTATATTGCACTTGGTTTACACGCGCAGACAATTGCTTACCCAATATAGCTGTATTCAGAAGCACAGACACGTAGGTAATATGCTTCTGCTTTATTTTTATTGCAAGGGGTTTCTTTATATGTAATATACATTCATTCCTTTAATTTACTACCTGACCTGCCTGTAAATAATTAAATTTTATGTTCTAATTCAAGTGTGAGAAGATAAAACAGATGTGCGCAGAGTTCTCTTTCCAGATTGAATTCAGGTGAGAACATCAGTAAACCAGTTGATGTCACATGCATCTCCTGAATCTTTCATTTTATTGCCCTGGTCTTTTTCACAAAGCCTCTTTTATATCTCTATGTGCCAGCTAGCGATTAAAATCTCAGTGAATAGATATGCCACATTGTGGTAATTTTTTTAAAATTACATCTCTAAGTGTTTGGCTTTTAATCTTTTAAAATTCACAAATACATTCCCCTTTCATCCTTGTAAAGAGATATTAAACATTTCTTTAAATAAAATCTGAATCATGAAGTCAACTTAATTTCAATGAGTTTGAAACTTCATTCTACATAGGAACACTTTACTAGTGTATAATATTATATATATTTGCTGTCTTTCTGGTACATATGATAACCATATGTGTCTTACCCCTTCAACTCCTTAGATTTCATTAGTAATTCTCCTTACTGTCTGCCATACAATTAATGTGATGTAAGTTTGGAGAATTTGGAATTCGGAATCAACCAATAATCCCCTTATTGATATTTTTCTTTATTCTTATCACTTGTCGCGTGATATCATTTTGATGGTGTAAGGAGAAATTCTGTCTAGGTCACTAGTGGGACGTAAAGGGTTAAAATGGGGGATTTCATTATATTGTAATGATTAAAATATTTTTATGCTTTAAAAAGTGACAAAAAATGTGATAAGAATCTGATGTTATGAAACAATGGAAAAACCTGTTGCTGGTAGCTTATGTCTTTAATGTTTACATTTTCATGAGAAATTCTTTTCTTTGAAAGCGGGGATTCAGAAGTTTTCAAAACTGATATATTAAGCTGTTTGCAAGTAATGACGAGCAAATTGACCATCATACTTCAATGCCTGGCATGTTTCACTCAAACATGTCAGTTGTGTGTACCTGCCATTGTAGAGGTGTCTTCAAAAATATTTTTTGGTATGGCTGTTGTTCTTTGTTGATCTTTGTAGCCAAAAAAGTTACTAAAGGCACTGAACTTCAATTTTTATGTACACAAGGCACCCTCCTAGGTGGAAAAGTAGAAGACCATAGAATGATGTTTACTAGACACTTGCACTTAGTGGAATCATACATTCAAGCAGTACTCTACATATATGATTATATGATGTCTTTAACCCTTTACACCCTAACACCCTAAGTTCAGTATGCATATTTTCCATACTGTTCTCGATACATTTCCTTTATTATCCTGACAAGGAGAATTTAACAATCAAGAGGTTCTTCAGTTGATTATCATTTCCTTTATTCTCCTGACCTTAATGTTTGAACTAGGGATGATATTGAAAGGAGAAATTAGATACTAGACACTCGCAGGAATTTAAGTGTTAAAAATTATAGCTGTATACATTTTATATGCTCCTTGCATTTGTTAGCAACAAAATGAAACAAACAAACAAATGAACAGAAGACAGTGAAATGAGAGAAACTACAAACTTTACCATATGATAGAAAAAACATAACCAAATACTGAAGGAAAACTTACCTGCTAACTTCCTCTATTGCCCTTCATGTTTTTGACCAAATGAAATTTAATCAGTTGCAGGGTTTTCCAGCAATGTGTCAAATTACCAGAGTCTGGACTTGATTCTTCTCATTTGTCACCTGGTAAAAGATAGATAGTTACTAAAATCATATGTCCATAAGAAAAAGTACACATCAAAAAAATCACACTTAGGTGGTGGCATGATTGCTTTGTGATACCGGAATTTAGAATTACAGAAGCAGGAAAAACACATTTAGCTTTTTCCCATTCACCAGTACCTTAATTAGATTTTCAAACAGGGAGAGATTAAATTTATTCATATCATGCTTCATTGTAGTTTGTTTATATGGAAAGGTAATTGTTATTATCGCTTAACAATTGTTGTCATTGCCATCACAATTAGCATTCATAACAAAGTTGAACATTTAACATTCTAATGTTTCAAGAACTTTCTTCCTTTCTCTTCAATATTAAATTATATTAAATTATTAAAAAAATATAACTTTTCATTCAGGTAATTATTTGAATATGTGAGAAAAATTTAATGTTTTCATATGTAACAGGATGATCAAGCTGAGGATAGCCTCAAAAAGGCGTGAACTCCATGGTAACAATGAGGTGACTAAGTTGGAAACTTGAGCACTTTGTAAATACACCTTGGCTCGCAATTCTGATGATTAAAGTTTGCTGAGGTAATTGAAATGTTAGTCTTCATGCAGGAACCTTCCATGTGACCTGTATAGTCATATGCTACAAGGTAACTTTAGAAAAATGCATTTGTGTCAGTAGAACTATTGTAAGTACAGTACAACCTAGCGACATTAGTGATTTCCTGTTTAAGCATGAATGTTTGGGAGAAGCTATTGTGGTAATTGACCCTCTTTTGCAAGGATGTGCATGGTCTGATGATTGTAATGTATCTCTCTTAGCTTTCAAACTTTCAACTTTGTATAAATTGTAACTGTTTAATATATCTATTTCTGTTATTATAAGCCCTCAAAAGTTAAAGCAGGTGAGTCAATAACCTGACTTCCATTGTTTGAAATTGTGTGATTACACAATTTTGCTGTGTAGGCTACCACATTGTAACAAGTAATATTATCATTTAGATTGCAAATAAATACTCTTGCTCAACCTTTCATTAATGCGTGGTGTTTCTTACCAATGGTCCAACCCAAACTAAACATTGACATAAGGGATTGGTCACAAGATATGTGAGTTTTAAAGGGAGGGAATCTGGAAAAGCAAGGATCCTCCTTTAATTAGGACTGAAATTAATGTGGGCCCTCCAATTTTAATTCATGTTTTTGCTTTGACCAGCCTCCTCCCCGGTGATGTTTAGAGCACATAGATGGAGGGAACTTTTTTTGTATTTTGACACATAAAAGTTAAAGTAATTGGCATCCACATATAATTGCACAAAGCAAGAATGTCAATGCTCCGGCTTTATAGGTGCAGACCATATCTTCCTCTTTATCCTCTGAATATTTATTCAAATAACATAGTCACCATC